TTTTTATCATTAGTTTTTATTGCGAAATCGATCTCAAAGTAATTACTCATCAAGAAATTTGAATTCAAGAATAAAAACCACAATTCTGACAGAGATTCACTAATACATCGTAATGCATTTGATAAGTTTGAGATAACTAGGTATAGAATTAAAGAGACCTTTAAATTCTCTGTACAGCTAAACCAAGAGCAATGCAGAATTTGAATGTGAATGAAGGCAAAAATTATAACTTCTAACATATAAGGTTTGGAAATCGGTTGAGAAACTGAGCTATCGAACGAATAAATACATGTTGGAGACACTGGGAGTTCAAGCTCGTTAAATCCAAGCAAAGTTGTAGCAGTGACTCTTAGCACTACTGCTGTTCCTGATTTTATTACTCTAGATCAGTGCGGGCGTTTGACGCATAATGTGGCGTATGAAAAACCCACAAAAAAATGTTACAGATTCTATGATGGCACATACGATTATATAACCAATAAAATTGAATAATTACGTTGTCCAAGCCAATAGCTTTCAGTGGCTCAGTCATATTTCCAACTTCAGGAATCTTTTTTCTCTAATATGTCTTCGAAATAGGTCTCTAAGGAACAATAGACTTGACCTAGAATCTCCTATACCAGACATAGACAAATTAGCAGTGGCAACTACTTTGTGGGTAGTCAAAACCTTTTTGTCTCTGACGTTAAGCTAATAAACTTCTTTCATGATCATTCACATTTTTTAACACTGTAACCCTAAGTTTTCAAATCGATCGATTGATCGTGGATCCACAAGGTTCATATACCAAAATGGATCAATGGCTACATTCATTTCATTTACTACATAGACCCATTGCATAAATGGCGCCTAACTTTGAATAACAATACTTTGTACATCCTTAGCCTCGTCCTTATGTTTCCAGACAAAGAATTTTTCACATGAATGTGAGGCTTAGGATGTATAAGTATTGTTATTCAAATGTGGGCGCCATATATTAATGCAAAGGGTCTATGTGTGGAAAAAATACTGAGACAGTAACCAATTTGAAATCTGTCCCTTCCAGGTTTGTATCCGTGCAAAAACTACTCAGACACAAGAGCATTCTCGATACCCAGGAAGCATGAACAACTACTTGATTTTCCAATAAGATTTTTAACTTTGAAGCTGTTTATTCTCAAGGGTTCATTTTCTGAAATTCGCTTTGACGTAGCCCTTTCATTCCGGTTGGTAAAAACCGTTCGAAAATTCAGCTCCATTTGTTCAATTCTACAATATAATTTCCAGTCTCCCGTGTAAGGAAAAACAAAAACAGGAAACCAAATTATGAATGGGAAGCTAATTTTGGAAACACTTATCACTTGATTACATCCTTCTAAAAGTCAAGAAACCATTTCAATTAAACAACTACTATACTATACCAATTTTCATATGTTTTTTAATGTTTTTAATATTTTATTATGTTATGTTACAGCGATCTTTCCCGTAACCGTATAAAGCGAATCGAGAAAGGACTTTTTAGTTACATGTTTTTGTTAAACATGCTGTAAGTGGTGATCGCAACATATCGAATATAAATTTATATTACAAGTCCCTGGAGGAAAACAGGGCGGAACAGCTTAAGTGAACCAGAGCGAAAAACTTAAAACTGTCTGGCCTATCTGCCCCAATTCAAAACAAACACCCCCCAAGACAGTCTCCACACTCGACAAAAAGTAATATGTATACTTATCAGTCTGAGGCAAAACACACAAGTCCAAGGACGATGAACAGTGCTTCAGTATTCTAATGATTTTAAGAAACCTTTACAAATATTCTCTGCAACTTTCCAGTGGACTATCGCGTGTTCCGTAGCTTGAACTTACTTAGAACCCTTATATACACATTATGACGCTCTGCAAAGCACTGTTCGTTGGAGGCGCATCGCGTGACCAGTTTGGACGAATATGCAACTCTGAGAAAAACACATTGGCGTTTTGTAACAAATATACCTTCGATTGACAATTATTCTGTTGCAGATCTTTGTCACTCAACGAAATCACGTATATTGATGACGAGGCTTTTCGGAACAACTTTGACCTCAGATACTTGTGAGAAAATCCATTTTTTATAAAACTTATAAAACTTCATAGATTAAAGTTAGATTAAAGATTAAAGATTAGCTTAAGAAAAATTGATAATCATGAAGACAGTTTGCATAATTAGGCATTTTCTATCTCTTGGCTGTTTCGGTACGATTTTGTATCGATTTATGCTCTTCTAACTTCATACGAAGAGATGCCGTTCCAAGATGGCAGATTTCATGACCCCTTTAACAAGTATAGAGTAATCCTGAGGTATTACAGTATATACTTTCACGTGCTCATCTCATAACGAGAAACAAAGGGGACTCCACTGTCAAAAAGAACCTCGTCAGGTAGACTTGCGTGCCGCGATCTGTTTTCATTTGTTTTCGAATATTTGAAAAGATCTGCAATGAAAAATTATTTTCCTCAAGATGCTTCAAACACAAAAGCGCTGTAGAAAGTTTTAGCCTTACTGAAGTTAAAATTGCCGGAGAATTTTACAACTTTGCGTGATATGTTTTGTTACTCTTTTTTTAGGTTTCTGGATAGAAATCGACTTCGTAGCATTACCAGGCATCTTTTCTCGTGGATGGGTTCAGAATATCTGGAGATTATGGAAGACCATTTTTAATGATTAGCGATTCTTACAAGAAGTGTGAATTGTTTTTGTCCTCTATCGGAATACCAAACTATTCTTTTCTTCAGAATACTTTCAGGAAATCCACTTCTAGTTATCGAAGAAGGTGCTTTTGACAGAACTTGGAGGCTTCAAACCTTGTAAGCTTTTAGAGCTAGCAGCTACTGTCTTAAATTATTTTCATTTGATAAGAACGACACTGTTAAATGTAACTTTCAAATGACCCTTTTAAAACGCCAGAGCAGAAAGTAGTTTGGAATTGGGCAAGAAAAAAAACTTAGCTGCTAAGCAAAGGTGCAAAATATAAAAATAAGAAAATCCGCAAATATGGCCCGGATGCAGATCTAATGACAAAATCGGTGAAAAAACCCGGAAAATTAAAAAAACCTAAAATATTACGTTTGCATGTGGCCAAATTGTTCAATATGTATTTATTTTATCATTCAAATTTTTAAGCAATCTGCATTTTCCTCATTGATATAATATTAGCTGTTTGAATGCATTGTCCTTTTGTCTCGTATGTGTTTGAAAAAACCTCTTGAAAACTAATTTGAGAGATGTAAAGCAGTCATCATCGCCGTTCGCCTAAACGAAAAATCTGATTTAACTTAGAACATTTTTTTATATATATAAAAAGTTCCACCAGAGCTACATTCTTGCCAAGGTTGAGATAAGAGTGTGTCTTGCCGAAGAACACAACGCTCGATCTGGAGTCTAGCTAGTGCGCGCGGGCCCCCGCACCTAACTCAAAATCACTTCAAATAATTTAAATTTATTTCGCTCATTTTACTGAGTAAATCACATATCCTGAGCATTTATATCCAGTTCAGTAATTAAACTTTGTTTTGTTTGTATTTCGACTACAGAATTTTGGTAGACACCGACATAAAGACAGTTCAACTAAGTTTGTTTTCCATGCTGCCCTACCTCGAAGACATTGTGATGTACGTGTATAACATGACAACAACATAATACCGTGCTCACTGCTTTGTCAAGATTAGTAGCCAGTTGCATCACATGCATGAAAATCGCCTTATGCTTAGCGATCACCGTGTAAAGGTCGAAGAATTAATGGCAAAGTCATTTATGCTTATTCCCCCAAGCCTCATATCTGGTAAATGGCCCTCTGTTCCTAAGAAGCTCTTTTCTAGGTCTCTGTTCGAGCTTCCCTCCTATCCCTTAGAGAGAAGCGGACTGACGGAAACACCGTGGGGTATATACATGAACACCGTACATTCTTACTCGATATGTTCATGGCATTTTATGAGACGTTATGGGTGTGTTGCATGGCCGTTATGTTCCCAGAGGCACGAATAGGATTTAGGGTGAGTATGGGTGCCATTTTCCCAAGCTTGGCATCTGATTTACTTTCCTTCATGGGTTCCCATTGGTTCAATACCATATTTTCGTTTTACAAGATTTGAACACATAATTACTGTTTTTTTGTTT